CCTGTTGGGGAGCAAAATGGGAGATGGATGAGGGCTTATGGGGCTGGCAAGATGGAAGCAGCAGAGCTGAGAAAGCAAGTATTCCTTGCCAAGTCTAAATCTTTCCTCTGTTAGCCCAGCCGAGAAGCAAACTGCTCCTGAGCAAGGCTGAGGAGGAGGCCTGAGGAAGAAGGATCCGCAGAGAAAGAGCCTCTGTGGTCCTGCCTTCCTGCTCCAGGTCCAATCTCATGTCACTCACTCACGCCTTCAAAGATCATCACTATTATTCACTCCCCGCTGGCTCTGGTGGTCACTAAACTGATGGACTCACTGTCCCTCAGGGCCCACCTGTGCCCCAGAGACTTCACCCATGCTCCTTCACCCAGAGCACACTACCTGAGAATCAGGGAAGAGGCCTGATAGTGACATTGTCAAAAGACTCAGGTTCCAGACTCAGCTCTATCCCTGACTAATGCAGTGCCTTTGGACTGGGCACTTGACCACTGAGCCTCATTTCCCCTCATTTGTAAGTGAGGTTTGTCTGCAGCACAGATCACCCCTTGCCTTCTCTGCTGTCTGGAGTGACATCTGCCTTGCTTGAGACAAAGCTGATGGGAACTTCTGTCCTGTGGCTGTCCTCTATCCTGGCCAAAGGTCAGCAGAACAGTTTTGGTAGCTTCACCTTAGGGCCTAGAGGACCTTCTCTGGTGACCCACAGGTTGTGAGTCTGTCTGGACTCTTGGTGACCTGCACTGCCTCTAGGAAAGTAGTGTCAGAGCTTCATCATCCAGCTCCTGAGCATCTGTGGGTGGAGCCCTGGCTTTGGTATCTCTGCCTTTCAGCAACCCCTGGAGTGGCCTGAGCGGCTCCTGGATGTACCAGAGGTCCAAGTAGGTGTCTAGCTGCTTGCTTGGCACCTTACTGCAGAAACTGTTCAGACCAGAACAGGAAGGAGTGCTAGAGCTGGGTGTGGCCCCCGGGGTGGGGGGGAGCAGCAAGTGTTATCGGGGTGTGGTTCTATAATCCACCTCTCTGCCATGTTTCCTGCCTGGACAACTCTATAGGGAGAGGCACTCTTAAAGACAGAAGGGACCGGTTCCACAACAGATTGCCTGTGCAGGAAGCAAAAGACTAGGCTCAGATCTCTTATTGGCTAGGAATTGCTTTTACATAGCTGGCTCATAAGTCTCAGAAAACCCTCAGATCCACAGTGACAGAACTGCAGTAAGAAAGGGTCAAGATGGCTCCCAGTTCCTGGCAAGTGATACAGTGGGTCACCACGCAAATCCTTTGGAAGGCATGGTCTTTGGACCATGTGTGCTCTGCTGCCCTCTCGTGGATTAGAGCGGTAAGTGCATACAGGCCACAACGAGCTACAAGCACCTAGTCTCTATTAAGGATCAGGCTTAATGAGATACAGTTATCATACTTGTTAAATACCCAGCCCAGCAAATGTGAAATGTGACTCCCCATGCTAAAAGAAACATCACCCCCAAATTATCCTGACATCTGATTTTTTAAAAAAATCACTTCTTGGGGTCTATGTGTGGAGTCATCACAGTCCCTTTACCTCCCAACCAAACGTCAGAAGCCTTGGTGAGGATGAATTACTCATGGAAAATAATGCATTCAGAATCCGTTCGTTCACTGACATGCTCATTGGGTGAGGGGTATGAAGCCCTAGGAACCAAGGATGCTGAGCACAGCTGTGTTAGCTTGGTAAGAACACAGCAGAGAAATCACCCACAGCAACTGCCTCCACATTGGGTTTCTATATGTTTTTAGACATCTCAGTTTTCCTGTTATTTGCTAAAACAGAGATGACGGAGTCTCACTTACCAAGGGATTAAATGAGGTAATGCAGTAAAGTCCTGAGTTCTGAGAGTGGTTCCTACTTTTACAAGTTGGGGGTAGAAGGTGGGGAGGCAATCTTGCAGTATTCCAACCCAGGGAGCAAGAAGACCACCAGAAAGATCTAGGGAGGGATGAACTCAGATGTGGCTCCAGGGATACTGGAGCAGCCAATGAGACAGGGGGAGTGTCTGGTGGGCAGAGGGGAGAGGGAAGGGAAGATGAGGCTCTCTGTTGTGGTGTTCTGCTCCTAAGAGGGAGGCAGAGAAAACAGTTCATGTGAGCACACACTGAACCGAGAGGCTCTGGTGAAGGTCACAGACGGGCAGCTGCAGCAGTAATTAATTTTGTCCCTATTTATATTCCATTTTCCCGCCCACACACCTATTTCAGTAAATGCCGGGTTCCTATAACATATTGGAAAGATTCTAGGATAACAGAAAACAGCGTGAGCAGAAACTGTGCTCAGGGATTACCCAGCAACAGAATACTACCAAAAAGTAAACACACTGGCTCGAGGCTTGGCAGTGCTGTGCCTAGCATGGGTTTTGGCCCCAGTACCACAGAAGAACCAATTGACAAGTAGAAGCCAGAGACCTGGATATAGAAGGAAGAGAAGGTGCTCTGGGCACAGGGAACACTACATGCAAAAGCCTTTCATGGGTCTGGGTTTGAGATGAAAGAGGCAAAGAGGGGCTGGAGAGATGGCTTAGCAGTTAAGAGCACTGACTGCTCTTCCAGAGGTCCTGAGTTCAATTCCCAGCACCCACATGGTAGCTCACAACCATCTGTAATGGGATCTGATGCCCTCTTCTGGTGTGTCTGAAGATACCAACAGTATACTCACACTAAATAAATAAAATCTAAAAAAGAAAGAAAAGAAGGAAGAAAGGAAGGAAGGCAGGAAGGAAGGAAGGAAGGAAGGAAGGAAGAGAAGTGAGTGTCAGGTTGGGGCAATAATGGGAGAGAAGGTCGCAGAAGGTCACAGAGGTGGGCGCATGTATGCTCCCTGGAATGCATAGGCTCTCTTGGCTGTGCAGCTGCCTCTCCAGCCCCTGAGCAGTAGATGTGAAGATGAGGAGGATGGTTTCGATAAAGCAGCACGACAGTGTTCAGTAAACAAACTCAGCAACTGAATGTTTACCAAAACTATCAAGATGATGTTCAGAAGACTGAGAAATTCAGAAAGTGTTTATGTCAAGCAAGGGCTGGGCGTGCCCTTGCAGAGAGTCAGCTGTGGAGCCATGTGACAACAGAGCGGTTTCCAAATAGGTCATGTGCAAAAAGACTTTATTTTTAACTGTAAAAATATGGCTAACACCGCAGGGCAGGGTGGGGTGTGCTTTTACTCCCCACATTTGGAAGGCAGAGGCAGGTGAAACTCTAGGAGGTCTAGGTAGCAAGTTCCAGACCAGTCAGGGCTAAATAATGAGATCTGGTCTCAAGAAAGGGGTATGGGGCCGGGCGGTGGTGACACACGCCTTTAATCCCAGCACTTGGGAGGCAGAAGCAGGCGGATTTCTGAGTTCGAGAGTTCGAGGCTAGCCTGGTCTACAGAGTGAGTTCCAGGACAGCCAGGGCTACACAGAGAAACCCTGTCTCGAAAAACCAAAAATAAATAAATAAATAAATAAATAAATAAATAAATAAATAAATTTAAGAAAGAAAGAAAGAAAGAGAAAGAAAGAAAGAAAGAAAGAAAGAAAGAAAGAAAGAAAGAAAGAAAGAAAGAAAGAAAGAGAGGGGTATGGGGAGGGTAGAGGGATAGCTTAGCAGTTAGGAACAGGACCCAGGTTCGATTCCCAGCACCCACATGGTTGCTGGCAACCACCTGTAACTCCAATACTGGGGGATTCATCCTCTCCTGGGGAGATGTGACCTCTGGTGGTACTGCACACATGTACTGCACAGACATACATGCAAGAAAAACACCCATACTCATAAAGTAAATAAATATTATATATATGGTTAATAACCAAGCTGATGTCCATGCTGAGTAGTTCTGATGCAGGGATTGAGAATTTAGAAACATGACACCTAGTTGTCCTTAAAAATAGGCATTTTATAATAACAACAATAATAATAATGCTTATTATTATTATTATTGTTGTTGTACTGAACCTCACGAATGCTAAACAAGTACTTACTACTGAGTTGTATCTCCAGCCTGTTTTCACTTAGGTCTCCCTAAGTTACCCAGGCTGGCCTAGAACTTACTATGCAGCCTGGGTGGACCTTCAATTTAGCATCCTGCTTCCTGTCTCCTGAGTACTTCTGATAACAGACCAGCACTGCCAGGCCCTGATAGAGATGAAGATTTCAAACAAAAAAGCACTAAGACTGGCACCTTCCTCTCTAGAAACTATGGCTATCTCTGGCAGAGTCAGTACTTCAGCACCAGGGAAATGGGCATCAGGACTCTGTGGAGGCTGCAGAGTCTGGTGGTGGTACAGGCTTGGGCACAGAGTTCCACTTCTGGCAAGAAGCTAGAACTGACCTTTCAGGGACAGACAGAAAGACAGTGAGTTTCAGCAGAAGGAAAGGAACCCAAGTATGTGCCTGTGGCCTCCAAAGCTGGAAGTGTCGCATCCTCTGCTTGGCTGCTTCTAGCCAGGAAGTTTCCCAAGGCCTACCCTCAGCCACCCCAGACTCAAGACTCATTATTCATATGAGCTGGCCAACCACTTAGAGGAAAGAAAGCACCCCACATCCCAAGGGCCACAGAGGCCCCATCCAGAAGAACAAGAGCAGCTGGGCCTGGCCTTGCCACTGCCAGCCTATTTGTTCCCAAGAAGTCGCCCCCCCCCACCAACATTCTGTACCCCACTTCACATCTCTTTTTCCTTTTAACTCTTGCCTGGTACTTCAGTGACAGTCTCCCCAACAGGCAAGAGCCAGTTGTTCTGCTGGTTTGGTTCAGCTCAGCCCAGCACTCCATGGATCCTACCCCAGATACCTTTCAGTGACTCAGCCTAGTGACCCTTAGGCCAACAGACACATGCTGCTGTCTACCTGGTGCTTCTCAGTGCCTCTAGGCCATCCACAGACCCAGCGGCTACACCCTGCATGATATGCCAGGTCCTTTAACCACCTCCACTCCCTAGGAGGCATCTGTGACTGGGACAAAAGCCAGGCCAAAGGTGAGGTTAAAAAGAAAACCATCTACTCACTTGATGAAGTATACAGCTCCTTCCGGGGTAGAATCCATCTCCCAACCCTTAGGCAAACCTGCAAGGAAGTGAAATCACAAGCTGAAGAGTCCTGGATACAGATACTTGACTTGCCTCAATCCAGAATCCTGGGGCCTGGAATGGCAGAAAAACTCCAGGGGAAGCCACAGTCCAAGTGGCCACTCCACCTTTCCCTCCATTATTTCCAGCATCTAAGTCTTCATCAAATGAGTACAAAGATGAAGGCAACAAAATGAATCACTGCTTGGTGCCCTTCCTCACTTATCCCACAAACCTCTTCTGAGCATCTGGGCCAGGTCCAGAGGCAGACCCTGAGACACATCAGGAAACCACAGACACTCATCCTCTATGGGTCCTCAGGGTCCTCTGAACCCCTCATCACAGAAGTCAAGGCTGGTGCTGAGAGCTTGTGATTCACCCAAGATTTACAGGTCCTTAGCACCCAGGGTTTAATAAGGATACAAGACTCTGAATCCCAGAAGGACCTCCAGACTGCTGCTTTGCCACAAGGCACTAAGGACCTGGGGAACAGGTCCCAGAAAACAAGAGACTGGCTTGTGAATTTCAATAGCATCTTTGAAAGAAAGTATCCAAGAGAAGCTCCAAGAGGACACTGGCAGAATCTCAGAGTGACAAGGGTTGAATCACTGAGGAAAATAACCTTGGCCAGGACTGTGGACCCAGTACTGCCACACCAGAGAGCCTGGTTAGGTCCTGACTTGCCTGATGTCTTAGGGTTTCTATTGCTGTAACGAAACACCATGACCAAAGCAACTCAGGAAAGAAAGGGTTTATTCAACTTACACTTCCAAACCACTGTTCATCACCAAAGGAAGTCAGGACAGGAATTCAAACAGGACAGGAACCTGGAGGCAGGAGCTGATGCAGAGGCCATACTGGCTTGCTCATCATAGCTTGCTCAGCCTGCTTTCTTATAGAATCCTAGACCACATGTCTAGGGATGACACGACCCACAATGGGCTGGACCCTCTGACGTCAACCACTAATTAAGAGAATGCCCTACAGGCTTGCCTACAGCCCAGTCTTATGGAGACGTTTCCTTAACTGAGGCTTCCTCCTCTCAGATGACTCTAGCTTGTGTCAAGTTGACAGAAAACTAGTCAGCATGCCTGCTCATTCCACCAAAATAAACACTCTAGCCAAGTCCCACTTTCTCAGCACAGAGATCCCCCAGCCCGTGGGAGAGAACTTTGAGAAAATCTACATCGCCAGGACTGGTGATCATTCCTCCTACAGGGAGCGGACGCCCCCAAGCCGATGTATTGAGAAATGAGAGATGATTCTCTTGGCACCCATTCCTTCCCTTTTGCTCAGTTGAAACACATGCCTTGGGCAGGCGGTCACAAGACACAGCCACCCTGTTAGTCTGAGTGTGCCATCGCCTTGCCACCTGCTTTGGGTTACACACTGCAGAGAAAAGAGCCTGAGTTTGGAAGAGTGGCTGGCCCAGTTTCGAGCCATCATTTTATCCATGTGTATTTGTGAAGAGCCTGTTCATCCATCGTTGCTGCTGTTTCAGTAGAACAAGGCAGCCAAGCTCAGCTCCTGATCCCCTAGAACCCTCACCCTCACCCTCACCCTCACCCTCACCCTACCTAACCTAAGAAATAGCGTCTCAGCAGCTGCCACTTAGTGGACTGTCCCTTCTCAGGTACGTGTGGCACCTCTACTAGTGGATCTAAGGTACCATATGAACTGGGTCTCAGACCAAGAAGGAAACTGAGGCCCAGATAGGTTAGTCAACTTGCTTAAGGTCACACAGGATGTGTCTGGGCTGGAATGTGAGTGTTGGTCTGCCACCTCCAGAGCCTACACTCTTGCCTCTGTGTGGCTCCATAAATGCTTCTTGTTCCCCTGTGTCCCCGTGCGAGGACGCTCCCATTCAGAAGGGTGTGGGTTGGCAGCCTCCCCGAGTAGAGGGATCCCCATTGGGTCAGAATCATAAATAATCCTGCCACTGTGATGTGCTGGGAAAGAGGCCAGTGTGGTTTCTGTCCTCTGCCTCTGCTAGCAACTTCCCTCCACACTGCCCTCTCTGCCTGGGCAACACCAAGAGCGCTTATGTTCCTGTCCAGGCGGAGTGCCCACTCAGGCAGCTGCCCTCCCGGCAAGCTTCAGGGGCATCTTAACTCCTTCCCAGCCTTGGATAACCAGTCAGTAGAAGCCAAAATGGAAAGAATTGCCTCCCCAGGCTCTTTAGAACCTTCCAAATCCTACCTAGGGCAACGCTGCTCTCAACAGGAGCAGGCCTTGCACCAGGACATCCAGTCAACAGAAGAAGCCAGCTGTAAAGTGGTGGCAGGGGTCTCATTTCACTTGAGATGGAGATGAGACAGTGGCAACCACAAATCCTTCCTGTGGTGCCAGCTTTCTTGCATGGAGGTTGCCTCTACCTTGAAAGGTTCATAATCCTCTCCCATCTACAGAGATGCAAAGACCAAGTTCCAGAAGAAGCAAGCCCCTGCCCATGACCACACTGGTGGCAAGGAGCGCCAACATTGGAACTAGGTCTCTGCATCTCTGAATGCGCATTTTGCCATGACCCCACTTCACTTATTAGCCAGGTGGCCTGGAGCCAAATACTTCCTCTCTGCTCTTCATTTTCCTCCCCTAAAATGCAAGGGTTGAACTCCACGGTCCCTGAAGCCTCTTTCAGCTCTGTACTGTGATTCCAGCCCAGATCTAAATGAAGCAGGCACTGGGCAAGTGAAACCCTTAACCCAGAGAGTCCAGTAGATCTGTGTCCTGTGAGGAACCCCAAGGCTGGTGTCTGGGCCTGGTACAGGCTGTAAAGGGCCAGAGACTGTCCCACAATGCTGTTCACATAGCTCTCCTTCCTGGCCTCTCATCCTAGAGAAAGGCCTTCCATTCCCTCCAGGCCTTCTGATTCCTAGGGTTCTTTACCCCTGTAACCCCAACAAGTCTTTCTCTGCCTGTTTCTTGTGTGTCACTGGCCTGTACACATCCCACGTCCCCCACTAGCCTAGGAAGTCTAAGAGAGCAAGAAGGAAACCCGTGTTAGCCTTGGCCTCTTCTTCCACAACTGAAGGAGTTGCACCAGCCACCAAGGGCTATTTGCATTTAAATTGATTAAAATTACTTCCAGGCCACTGTAGACTAACCACATTCCCCTTGCTTGCTAGCACACATGGCTCAGGGCAGCTGTATTAAGCAGCAGAGGTGGGAAACGGTCCAACCTTGCATGCAGCACAGGGTTGGGTTCTGCCCAGTCCAAGAGTGTCTGGATTCCGGCAACCTTCAGGTTGATCTGTCCTCTAAGGTCTGTCCTGATACTGATGGTAAAGAAGATCCCTTAGAGGTGTTCTGGACTATTCCCCAGGGACCATCCAGAGGCTGGGGTGAATCTACTCATAGCAAAGAAGTCAAAGCAGGTCTGGGGCCAAGGGTTTCCATGACCACCTCAAGCTCCTCATCAACTGTAAAGGCAGGGGCAGGTGACTCCTTACCTGGGCCGGTGGAGTGTCCACTCTGGATGGGTGAGTCTGTACCAGGGTGCACCCAGCTAGTTGACTTCTCCTCATCACTATGGAAGAAGCAATAAGGGTGGGTCAGGTTCCCAAACAGCTTCCTAGAGCAGAGCCCTCACCCACCTGAGATGGCCACGCCTACATTGCCATGCCGTCTTGTATTCATGCGTGTGCAAAGGCAACTCTGAAGTGTCAGAGGTAAGCAACATCTAATCCCTGGCCTTGAGGAATACACCATCCCAGCAGGAAAGCAGACACACACGGACAGCGTGCTATGAAGCAGCGATACACAGAATCCAGGCTGCAGACACAGTGCCACAGTGGACGGAATGCCCCTGCCCGCGGTGGAGCACGAAGAGGGGGCAGGGCCTCAGGTGGCTGAGAGGTGGTCACTGCGGGGGGTTTGGTGCTATTCATTTACAATCACAGCATTCCCTCCATGTAGGAATCTGACAGAAAGTTGGGGGGGGGAGGGTTTGCACACCTTTAACCCCAGCACTTGGAGGCAGAGGCAAACAGTCTCTGTGAGTTGGAGGCCAGCCTGGTCTACATATTGAGTTCCAGGTCAGCCAAGGTTTCATAGCATTTTTTAAATACTACCTCAAAAAAGAAGAAGAAAAAGAAGAAGGAGAAGGAGGAGAAGGAGAAGAAGAGGAGGAGGAGAGAAGGAGGAGGAAGAGGAGGAGGAGGAGGAGGAAGAGGAGGAGGAAGACAAAAAAGAAAAGAAAAAGAAAGAAAAAGAAAAAAGCTAAAAAAAAAAAAAGGTTGAGGACAGATCTGTGGTAGAGAGATGCTATATGCATGCACATGGCCCTCGGTTCCACCCCTAGTACCAAAAAAAGGAGGGGAAAAAAGACAGATTTTGAATCCAAGGTTCAGAGAACGTATGTAACTTACCCAGGTCACACCAAAAAGTGAGGACCTGTCCACCCCTCAACCCCAATCTGAGGACAAAAGAGCTCATCGCTTTTCTTCAACCCCACCATCCAACGGACACTAATGCTTCCAGATGTGTCCTAACAGGGAGGTGCTGCCTGCCAGTCTTGGCCATTTCAGGACGGACAGGGATGGGGCTGGCATTTCCAGATGGCCCGAGCTTTAGGGTGGGGCTTGAGACTCCACTCCACTCAGTGTCTCTAATAAGCGACATGCATAAGATCTACAGAATCTACCCGATTTTTACTGTAGCAAGACTTATAAGAAATTGTATGCGTGTAAAAACCAATGCTCTGATATATGTGCAGAACACCTTGAAAACTGCCACCAGATCAGAATATTGAACCCTGCCCCCCCCCACCCTTTGTGCCCCTTAGCACTTCCTGACTCCCCCCCCCCCCGCCCTGACTACCCTCCTAGCTCTTCCTATCTTGCCCCCTTCCAGCCACACCCATCTGCTTTGCATATTCATTATCGAGTTTCTCAGTTACACAGAAGGAACCGTATGAGCCAGACTCCTCTATCTTAACTTCCTTCCCCCTTCCATTCTTTCTTCCACACTGCAGGGTTAGTCATTCCTGACTAGCCCTTCCTGAATGGCAACGTGAAGGATTCACCATGGCCCATGGGATGGGACATACAGGTCGTTCTCGGCGTGGGCCAGTACAAACAGAGCCACTGCTCACATCCGTGGGCTGTGAGGGGGGGTGTGCCCTTTTGCTTTTTCTTTTGACTTTATTAATTTTTCTTTGAGGCTGGACACCTGCTGCACACAGAGACTTTCCAGCTGGCCCATCCCTCTGTCGAGCAGAGAAGAAACAAAGCCGCGGTTCTCGTGACCTCTGCACCCTGGAGCCACCGAGAGCTCTAAGAGATAGTCTCTAACAGTGGGCCTGGGTCCCGGTTTAGTGCCGGCTAGAAGCCAGAAAGGAAGGCCAGGAATGAAAAAGGCTTGAGGCAGCAGTGTCCTTAGCCTCTTATGCTGCCCTGACCCTCTCTCATCTCCCCCAGTTCCCCTCCGCCTCCACCTCACCCAGATGCCGGGGATAGCCCAGTAACAGGATGACGTTCTACCACAGGCTTCAGCTCCCTCTGCTTACCTCTTACTAACCTCTCTCTCCTTGTCAGCCAGGCCCAAAATAAGGCGGCTGGAGGTTGCCTGGCCTTAGCATTCATGGGGAAGCTCGGCCTGGGAGGGCTGGTGTCACTACAAATCCAGTCTCCAGGAAGAACTATTTCCTTCATCAGGGTTATCTGTGGGTGTCCAGTCTAGTTCTAGTGCCTTCCCACCAGCCTTGAGTCCCAGCCTGCCTCTCCTACCTACCTACTCCACCGCACTCTCTAGAGCCCTTAATTGAAAAAAAAAAATAGTCAAAACCGAAAAAAAAAATAGTCAAAACCATCAGGTTTCTGCATATCTGCCCTACCCTCGAGTGGGCAAGCGGACTCAGCTCCTTGGCTGTTCCTTCATTCTTGTCTCTACATTGGAGAGGGGGCAGCCATCTCTCCTCTGAAGTGAACACTCTGCCTGGGCTATCTGCCTACACTTCTGTCTCCTGTCTCTTATAGACCTTCATTCTACCTAGTGTCTGGGCTCAAATCGTGGACTGCATCTCCCCGTGGCATGTAGAACCTTCCTCTGCATTCCTGTCTGGGTCTCAGATGGGCACAATTCCCTGTCTCCCTCTCAGGGTCACCTCCCCTCCAACTTGTACTCTACATCCTTCCTACCTTCCCTCAAGCCAGCATCCCTTCCAGAAGCGAGCCTCTTCTGCTCCCTGTTTCTTGGCCTCCTGCTCACCAGTTCTGCATTATTCTAGTTTCTGTTCCCAGGCCCCTGAAGCCACTTTCCACTAAGGATACAGTCTCACATTCCTGAGTGTGGTTGCCATTTCCTAACCTTTGGCTTTTCTGCTGTGCTGACCACTGCTGGCCACCCCTTCCTGATTCCTTCTCAAGCTCCCCCGTCTTCTCTCCTCTCTAATCCTGGTGCTGCTTACCTCTGACCGCCTTGGTCTCATTCCCATCCTGGCCTATCTTTCTCTACTCTCTCCTTAAATACTGATGCTGCCCAGTGACCCTCCTGTCACCTCACTAAAATGGCAGGTAGTGTAGCCAGCTACTTTAAAACCTTGTAGATGACACACAGGGACCTCAAGTTCAACATTTCACCACTGAACTTATCCTCACCCCTAAGTCAGGCTTCTAGTCTTGATTCTCATCAAACTCGAGTGGGACGCTGTGGGGAGATGCCTCTTCCCTTTCTCCATTCAGCCCCACTCCTGATCCTCTCCCCAGAGACACCCCTGCTCTCCCACCCTTTCCTCTCCATTCTCCCCAGAGCTATCTCAGGCTTCCTGGTTTCACGGTGGCTTCTTAACTGTGTTCTATTCTGGAGCCCCTGCCCTGCCCCATCCCAACCCACCCCTCACAGCAGCTGGAGGGATCCTCCTGGATGCAGATCCTACAACAAGCCCTGGGGTAAAGTCTCCTATGGCTTTCTGTCTCTTGCCAGATAGAGTCCTCATCTAACATCTTGGGCCTTCCTCACGCTGCTCACCCCTGCTTTTCTGTCTTTTTTTTCCGCTGCAACCTACAAAGCTTCCACTTTCACTGTGATGCAAGGGGGTTCTAGGTACCTTTGCCTCAAGCCCACCCTACCTTCCTTACAAGACCTCTTGCTGCCCAAGGTCGCTATACTCTTCCCCTCCCCTTTAGCGTCTGTCCAGCTCTTAGCCTTTGGATAGCCTCTCTAGCCTCCCTTCCAGGTCTTAATTTTCTTCCTAGGTCCCATAGTCAGCATCACACAAGCAAAAGCCTCCCAGGATGCATTGTGTTGTTCTGCACCTTCTCCCACCACCTTAAAGGTAGCTTACCAGTTTTATTTTCATGTTGCAGGCTAGAGTGAACGCTCAGTGTCTAGACCAGGGAGTGAGAGGAAAGAACAGGAAGAGATGGGAAGCAAACTCAAAGCCATCAGGAGCTCTTGGGAATTCAGACTATCAAGCTGCCTCTGCTCCAAATAAGAATGGTGTTGAGTTGGGGGACCCCAGGAATCAGTCTCTTTTTTGTTTGTTTTTGGTTCGTTTTGCTTTATGTAACCTCGGCTGGCCTGGAAGTCAAAGATCCAACTGGCTCTGCCACCAGACTGCTGGGATTGAAGGTGTGCCACCATACTCAGCCCTGAATCGGCCTTTTAGGTAAACTCCTTGGACGATTTCTTATTTTAGTTCTGTATTTATTTTTGAGGCAGAGGTTCATTAGGTTGCTCAGCTTGCTCTCCAGGAACTCTCAGGTCAAGTGATCCCCCTGCCTCAGCCTCCCGAGTAGCTGGGAACACAGGCACACTCAACTACACTTAACCTTGATGGTTCTTAAGGGTTTTGAAGGCTCAACCCACTGAGGGAAGGGACTCTGATTTTAATCATGGAGAAGTTCTGGTATTTGGGATCCTGACCCCGGGCCAAGAACTTTGGTGATGTTACAGCTAAGACAATATAATTCAGCATCAATTATGATAAATAGTGGTGATAATAACCGAAGAAAGTGCCATACAAGCATGGAAACAGAAACCCCAAACCACGACCATGGATGGGGGGAGCCCCTGCAACAGAGAAAGTGGGCTTAGACTCAGGCTGCCATGATTGACAATCCGTCCCATCTCAGACAAATACTTTACATCTCTCCAGACCTTAGGTCTGTGGAGACAGCCCAGGGGCCGCTTCTAGCTTCTCCTCAGCTCTAATGTTTTCTGAGTGGCTATCTTGAGGAAGAGGAAGCTTGTCAAGTGTGGGAACTGTCCAAACTGCTGTGCTATATACGCTTGCTATATCATTGGGAGATTTCTTTCCTGGCAAAAGATGACTGTAAGAGAAGCCAGCCAAAAAGAGGACCAAACAGGGCCACTTTGCTATAATGAGATTATGCCACAGCCATTTGGTTTATGGATTTAATAGAACGGCGCTAATTTATCACTGAGAGCAGCAAAGCCTCCCCCTAAAGAATTCTTCAAGCCTAAGGCTTTCTTCTGCCTCCTGATCACAGACCCAGGAAGCAGCAGACAGGGGGAGGAGCTGCGGGAGTCCGCAGTGAGCAGGTGGGAGAGGCAGGGACTCCTAATATGCTGTCAGTTTGCCCAAGTCTGGAGGAAAGAGGTCGCCTGGCCTCATCTAATGTACGAGCTGGAAGAACTCCTTGCTGCAGGGTGCGGTGATCAGGAAAGAGGCTCAAGGCCACCTCGCCTGCCCTGCCTCTCCAGCTCAGGGAAGGAAGCCTGTGAGCCTTCCTGGACTTTGCCCCACTGAGGAAAAGGCGGGAGTCACATTCAAACAGGTATCTTGATAAACTTATTAGTCAGCCACCCCCTCCCTCCACCACTACCCCCAGCCTGACCCCCAGCCACGCCACCTTTCAAGTCAAACAACTTTAAAGAAAAAAGTGGAAACGGGGTGGGTTGGGAAGGGGTGGGGGCGGCGAGAAAGAGCCCTACATACTTGATGAAGAAGATTCTCCCGCCGCGGTCCACTCCGTAGGTCCATCGGCCTGGCAGGTCCAGCCAGTCGATCTCATCGGCCATCTCGGTGTCCCCGCAGCCCCTCTGGCTCTCCGCGCCCGCCCCCCGCGCCAGGCTGGCGCCCCCACTTTCTGCGCCTCCTAGAGGCGGCGATGGGGGAGGGGGTCCGGTGTGGTCCGGGCGCACCTCCGGGTTCCCCCGGCGGTGACTCCGGCCTCCCGCGAAAGGCGAGCTGGCCGACAGCCGGAGACGGGCGGGCACTTCACCCAGGAGGGGTTCGGTCCCAGACACCTCCTGCCCCCTCTGCGCCCCGGAGCTCCTCTTCGGACCGGCTCCTGAAGTTCAGTGCCGGGCAATTAGCGTGGTGAGTAATTAGGAGGCTCCTGCCGCCGCGGCTGCTAACGGGCAGCGCCGGCCTCCGTCCGCTCCCGCCAGCCGGCGCGGCGGGGAGAGGCTCCCCCGGAGCCCGCAGGTTGCGCCGAGGTGCGCCCCAGCTCGCTGCTCCGAGCCTGCTCTTGAACTGGAGGCGGGGCCTGGCTGCGCCGCCGAGGACACTTCCCAGCCCCGGGATGCGCCCGCAGCCCGGCGTGGCCAGGGAAGCAGGCGCCGAGGGCGAGCCTCGAGTCACGCACGGCGCAGAAAGGGGGAAGTGATAACAGCACTTCAGTTAGTGGGAGGTTAGTGCAGGAACAAAGGTCGAACGCGGGAAGGGTGGCGCGGCCGAGTGCAGCCAGGGATCTAGGAGGCCCTTAAGCCAAGTTGCCAACCTAACTAGTTCAGCTAGTCTTCACCTTTCCTCCCCGGCACCTTCTCCAAGAGGCCTGCCATGACTGCAGAGGTTTCTCAGGCTCCAATCGCCTTCAGGGCCTTCCAACTCATTCTTTCGAACATGCACCAGAAAAGAAAAAGGAAAGGAAAAGGAAAAAAAGAAAAGGAGAAAACAATGAAAGTAAAGGGATATGCATGTGTGAACGGATGCAGGTTTCCAGCATTTCACACTGAAAAAATAAAATAAAACGCTATGGGAACCCATAGTTCTTTTGCCTCCAGGGTAAAAGCCAGATTTCATGCTGCTTTCCAGCCTACTTCAAGACCTGTGCCAGAGTCTCCAATTTAGTGCCCACTATTCCAATCATATTCCAGACCCAAGGGATAACTAGTTAGATACTGGGAGAATTGTGTGTACTTAAACGATGAGGTGCGTGAAATGATGGGTAACAGGTGTCTGTAGAACGGACATTACGGTCTGAGAGACTTGATTCCCATTAGCTCCGGCTCATCCCTACAGTGGCACTTCTCCAGGAGACCATTGAGGACTCCACCCCAGGTTTATATGGCCATTCTCTGTATGTGCCATATAAATACGCTACAGTAGTACTCATCGCAGTGCAATGAAATGACTGGTTACTCACCTGTCTCCATGACCTGGCTGTGTATAGCTCAAGGGGGTGGGGTTATTCCATTTTAACTTTATAGCCACTGCACTTAGCTGGGACTAGTAGCTGGGTAGTGCTTGAACACTGCCTGGTACAGTCCTAGTTGGGGGGAACTAGTCTTGATTCCAATCACAATCCTGTACTTTCTGTACTTTTGAATGGAATTTCCACAGTAAACAAAACAATAAACAGAGGTAGGGTTGTCTGATGGAGATCTTTTTGGAAAATAAAACAGCCTGCGACTCTTCCAATCTGTGAGCTGCCTAACCCAGAAGAAGCACCAAATAGATAGTGAGCTTCAAAAATGCATCTGGGGCCATCTGTAGCCAATCCTCTTGTCTAAAATTGAGGAAACTGAGGAAAGGGCTGGACAAGGTCCCTTGGCGAGGTGGTGGCTAAGAAGGGCCCGCCCATTAGTGTCCCGGACTTGAGCTCTTTCCATTACATCATCTACCTCCAACAGGGGAAAGGAACTCTGCCAGACCTCACAGGCTGGCTCTAACTGCCAGGTCTATGTGGAGTCCATTTTCCAGGTGACTAAAGAAGCAGAAACCAGCAATATCCAACTCTTTTATCTCCTTAGATTCTATACGCTTGTAGCAGAAAAAGCTACATTTGGTGGTAAACTGGGCCACATCTAAGGAACAGAGTGTGGGTGTCCCTTAGTCCCTGAATTGGGGAGGGTGGGGGGTCGGGCAACAGACTTCTTCCGGGGCCTTGTGAAACACCTGTAAGACTCATCCTGTTGATAAAGCGCAGCCACCTGCCCAGCCTGTGATATCCAAAGATCTAAACGGCCAGGATTGCTGCCAAGATGCTTTAAGGGAAAATACCAGCAACCAGCACACTCCCCGTCTAACCTGAGCAACCAGTAAGGGCAGCTGCCTGGGCTGCACGTGGGGGGGAACATGCGGTGCTCCACTGCACTGTCTTCTCTAAGGAGAGCGCCCCAAGCTGGCCTCCTCAGAAGACTGTTGCCCCTCCCTTGTGTGTGTGTGTGTGTGTGTGTGTGTGTGTGAGAGAGAGAGAGAGAGAGAGAGAGAGACAGAGAGAGAGAGACAGAGAGAGAGAGACAGAGAGAGAGAGACAGAGAGATGGAGTGCAATGATCCTGTGCAGAGACCAAAGAGGAACTTAGGTGTCCTGCCGGATCATCACTTCTGCCTTATTCCCTTGGGACAGGATCTTTCACCAAACAGGTTCTCTCATCGAACCTGGGCTGATGGCCAGAAAACCGCGGTAATCCACCTCCTCCCATCCCAGCACTGCAGGACCGGTGTGCACCAGCCACACCAGGCTTTTACATGGCTGCTGGGAATTTGGACTTAGGTTGGGTCCGTACACTGCATAGGGAATGTACTTACCTACTGAGCCATTTCCCCATTCCCAGATAGAGTCTTGTTTAGTTAGATAAGTTAGTCTTAGGTAAGAAAAAGCCAATGGTTAATATTTTAATTTTTTTTCTTTTTCTACTTGTCTGAAATGAAAACTCGGGTCTGAAAGTCTTTTTCTAATTATTATATATTGTCAGTAATGTTTATTCTGCAGTGCTGAGGAATGGAGCCCAGGTCCTATTGTGATTCTGTAAGTGTTCTACCTCTGAGCCACATCCGAAGCCGGCATTCTAGTTATTTATCAATTATGGCAAATATTGAAATATGAGGAACCAAAACATCTCTTGATTCAACAATTACCCGGAAGAGGGAGGGATGGTTGATATGTTAAGAAGAAAACCTTAGCTGGGCGGTGGTGGCGCACGCCTTTAATCCCAGCCCTTGGGAGGCAGAGGCAGGTGGATTTCTGAGTTCGAGGCCAGCCTGGTCTACAGAGTGAGTTCCAGGACAGCCAGGGCTATACAGAGAAACCCTGTCTTGAAAAACAAAAAAACAAAAAAAAAAAACAAAAAAAAAGGAGGCAGAGTCTGACTGATTGCTGAGTTTGAGGCTAGCCTGGTCTATCTATATAGCAAGTCCCTGGCCAACCAGAGGTACATAGTGAGGCTTTGCCTCAAAACAAAACAAGGCTCAGTAGTATAGGCACTTGCTGTTAGCATGCAACCTGAGTTCCTTCTCCAAGACATGGAGAACCAGCTCCTACAAATTGTCCTCTGACCTTCACATGGGGCTATGGTAGACACACATTGATACACCTACAAACTCACACACAGATGTGCACACACACATGTGCACACAGGCACGTACACTTAAACTAAAGAACTCTGTGAGTTTCCTTTTGAGCCCTGTCCTTCTGCCATGCTTATTCCTGTGTGTTGGTCAGTCTGTCCACAGTACCTCAGCTCCTTGCAGAGGGAAAGGGTTGTGCACAGATCTGGCCAATTTGCTTCCCTTTCCCCATCATAATAAATACTAGGTTAAAAAAGGACTTCTGCATCAGACCACAGCAATGAGACTCTGTATGTAAGGATCCCAGAGTCCCACGAAGACGTAGGCAGGGGGCCATATTGGTGCTTCTGAGACAGTCAGGGGACAACCAGCTAGAAAGTGAACCAACAATGAGACGTGGAGCTGGGGTTGGAGAAAGCCTAGTTTTCGTGGTCCCTATTTCCCCAGATCCCAGCTGACCAGAAGACATTACCCTTGGAATCTCCAGATGGCTGCCGTTCCCCATGCTTACTGGTTTCAGCCAGTTTTAGTTGAGTTTTTGTCCCTAACAACTGAAAAAGTCACAGACAATACAAAGTTCAAACAAACAAACAAACCCCAGCTGTTTCTTATGTGTGGTGAGAAAGCACATATTTCCTATGATTTGTGGATAGGCCCTCTTTCAAGAAAGCTACAATGTTAGATCAGGAGTCTGAGTGATCAAATTGTCTAAAGTTCATGTGGTTCCCATGGAAGACCCTGAAGGACTCAGAGGAAGCACCCTAGAGCTGTGACAGTTCCGTGAGAGTTGACACCTCGGATCTATCATGTAAACACATGGCCAGATTCACCTACCCTCAGAAAGATCGTAAGACATTGCCCAGCTCTATAAAAGAATGGCCACCTCAGAGGATTTTACTGAGTCCTTGTTAATGTTTATAACAGTCATGCTCACCTCAAGCAAGGTAGCCTGCTCAGTCTTACAGGAAGTGGAGGGCCAAAGACAGGAAGGATACTTCTGCCAGCCTTAGAGATGCAGTTTCATAAATATGCAGAGGCCAGGCAGACTAGCTGCTTAAATAAAAGTGTGCTTCCTTAAGGGCTTGAAAGAGAAGGCTGGGGGGCGGGGGTTGACTTAGCGGTTAAGAGTGCTTGCAGCTTGAGGCCAGCCTGGTCTACAGAGTGAGTTCCAGGACAGCCAGGGCTATACAGAGAAACCCTGTCTCAAAAAACAAAACAAAACAAAAAAAAAGAGTGCTTGCTGCTCAATTATGCGGATGTAAGTTCAAATCCCAGGACTCATGTAATAACATTTGTGGACACAGTTATCTATTTTTTAGGTTTTTTAAAAAAGATGTGTACATATACACATACATATATATGTACATATTCTGGTATTGTTTTGCTATCACATCCAGAAGACACAGATTCTGAGGTTTCCCTGCAGCCTGGTTTGTTTCACAGATTATTTACTGAGTCCTTCTGCAGGTCAAGTGCTGTCATCTATCAGGAGAGTCAGGAGTGAAACAAAATGTTT